GGTTTCACCCATGAAGGGTGTGATGAGGTTCGGGAAGAAGGGCAAGTTTAGCCCTAGGTATATCGGTCCTTTTGAGATCCTTGAGAGAGTTGGTGAGGTGGCCTACAAGCTTGCATTGCCACCCACCTTATCGGGAGTTTACCCGATGTTTCATGTTTCTATGATTCGGAAGTATTATGGTGACCCGTCCCATGTATTAGATTTCAGCTCAGTCTAATTGGACAAGGATTTGACTTATATTGAGGAGTCGGTGGTCATCTTGGACAGCCATGTCTGAAAGTTGAGGTCAAAGAATATTGCTTCAGTGAAGGTTCAATGGAGGGGTCATCCGGTCGAGGGCACGACATGCGAAGTCATTATCCTCACCTTTTTATCACTTCAAGTATGTCTCTATGCTTGTTCGAGGATGAACGTTTATTTAAAAGGGGGAGAATGTAACGACCCGACCGTTTGTTTTGTGTATTTGCGCCCTATTTTTACTTTTGATCCTTCACACATGTGTATTTATGGTTTGATGACTTGCGGGGTTGGTTAGTTTCGTTTCAGGGAGGTTTTGGGTAGATTTGGACCCTTTGGTTCTTAGCTTAGAAGCCTAAGTTAGAAATATTGACCAAGTTTGACTTTTGTGAAAACGACCCTGGAACAGCATTTCGATGGATCTGATAGTTTTGTATCGTGATTTTGGACTTAGGTGTATGCTCGGAATCGAATTCGTAGGGTCGTAGGTTGATTTATGTTGTTTTGCCAAAAATTGGCAATTTGATGTTTAGAAGAATTCCCAAGTTTGGCCGTATGTTGACTTTTGGATATCGGGTTCAGAATTTGGTTATGGGACTTGGAATAGGTTCATTATGCTATTTAGAACTTATCTGCAAAATTTGATGTCATTTGGAGTTGATTTGATAGGATTCGGACGCTTGATTGCAATTCTAGAGGTTCTTGAACTTTTCTTTGAAATTAATACGTTTTGATGTCCGATCCGTAGTTCCAGATGTTATTTTTGTGTTTTAATCGTGAGAGCGAGTTCGTATGAGATTTTTAGACTTGTGTGGTTGTATGGTTTGGATCCCCGAGGGCTCGGATGAGTTTCGGACGTGCTTCAGAGTGGTTTTGAACTGAAACAAGATTGCTGGTGTGCTGATGCCTCAGGTGTCCCAATTACAAGCACCAGCATCGCAATTCCAATCATATCAGGGGATCTCAGGTGTCGCAATTCCGATACCCGAATCGCAAAACCGAAGAAGGTCTGAAATTTGCGACAAAAGTGTCGCATTTGCAAAGGGAGCAGGCTTCGCAATTGTGAAGCTTATGTCGCATTTGCGACTTCCAACTCAAGTTGTGAGTAGCCACAATTGCAAGATATCCTTCGCAATTGCGAAGGATCGCTTTGCGATATCTGCAACTGAACAAAAGGTTAGAAAGTCGGGATTTCATATCATTTTCTCATATTTTAGAATCCTAGACTCGGTAGGATGCAATTTGGAGAAGGGATTTTCATTTACAAATATTGGTAAGTGATTCTAATCAATTCTCAATTATATTTTATTATTTTATCTTAGATTTAACATCAAATTTATAAGAAAAAAAGAGGAAATTGGGGATTTTTGTCAAAGTTTTAAAACATGAAGATTTGAGTTTTGAGAGTCGAATTGGACTCGGATTTGAAAATGTACTCGTAGGGTTATAGATAGTCAAAATATACCCTTGGACCCGGATTTTGACCGGACGGGCCCTGGGTTGACTTTTGTTGACTTTGGAAATGTGTAAAGATTATAGCTTTATCTATCGTAATTGGTTCCCTTTGCATTGTTTGATGATAATAAGTCATTTTTTATTAGATTTGAGCCATGTAGAGGCGAATTTTAGGGGAAAAGCTATATTCGAGGGTTGATTTGGCCTAGTTGAAGTAAGTATCTTGCCTAGTTTTTTTTTTTTTGGGGGGGGGGGGGGAGGGGGGGCTACCCCTTAAGATTTGGGTTGGTTGTGCTAATTGTACTATGTGAAAGACGTGTACACAAGGTGATGAGTGTGTACACGGGCTATATATGGTATTTTGACTGGTTTAAACTTTTAGTCTTCTTTCATGCATTTAATTGAATTTGTCATAACATGTTACATCTTTCATTGTTAAATTTCATCTCGCATGCTCTAATTAATGTTGTTAGTATTTGTTCTATCCTTTGTTGACGTATTTTCTCTCATATGCTTTAGTTGAAGTTACTACCTCTCTTGTTGTCTTGTTACTCCTTTATTATTAAGTTACTCTTATTTGATATTGTAGTTCGTGGAATATCTTCTTGTTGGGTTATTGATGTTAAACTTGTGGAAGCCATTATCACATTGAGGTTGAAGTTGTTAATTGTTGAGTATTCCTCATTCATTTTGACATTATTGAGATTTTTGTACATATTATGATTGAGCCATGGGCTCTATGTTGTGGTAACATTGGTATTGTTGATTTTCGCAAGTGTTGTGGCATATGGGCACGTGTGGTGCGAGTTGATTATTGTGTGGTGATATGGATACGCATGCGGTGGTATAAGGATGGTGGTTGATACGTATGTGGTGAGATAAGGTGGGATTTATACGCGCGTTCCCCGTAAGGAAATTACTTGAAGCCACACGGTGCCATAAAGGGGCTAAAACATGTGTAGTTATTTCGGGAAAATGTTTTCAAAAATAAATGCAAAGCTCACGCGGTAATATAAAGAAAGATTGCGATTGAAACTGTGAAATGTGAATATGAGGCGTGGTACCTTGGTTGTGACATTTGTTGTACATTTCATGCTAAAAGAGGCTTGTTGGTTGAACAGTTCTTGTTGTTTCCTTCATTGTCTTACTTGTAATTGTCCGTGTTTGACTACTTGTTGTTTCATCATATGTTCACTACTTGTTGCCTTTACCACTTAAATTTTCGTTGTTAGCTTACATTATTGAACTGCTTATCTGTCATTTACTTTTTCTCCTATTTTTCCTTATCGTTTTTTGTCTCCCTTATCTGTCTTTCTCCAACCCCACCCCCCCCTTCTTCTTCTTCTTCTTCTTCTTCTTCCCTTTTCTTCCTTTCCACCTTCTCTTGAGCGGAGGGTCTATCAGAAACGGCCTCTCTACCTCCCCAAGTAGGAGTAAGGTCTGCGTACATATTACCCTCCCTAGACCCCACTTGTGAGATTATACTAGGTATGTTGTTGGTGTTGTTGTTGGTATCTGTCATTTACTTCCTCGCTTCCCATTATTAGTCTATGCTATATTCTATTCAGTTTTCTTATCATAGTAGGTGTCTTGACTTGGCTTTGTCACTATTTTACCGGGGTTAGCTTGATACTTATTGGGTACCGTTGTGGTGTACTCATACTACGTTTCTACATATTTTTGTGCAGATCCAGGTACATCTGCCTGTGCGGGACTTTAGTGATCATTCAGTTATTTCCGTAGAATTCAAGGTATACCTACTCAACGTCCGCAGGCCTCGGAGTCACCTTCCGCCATTCTCTAATTACTGTTTATCTTCTAATCAGATAATGAGATATATTGAGATTTTAGTACTTTCTGTAGAGCTTCTGACTCAGTTTCACCAGGTTTTGAAAGTATTGTAGTTGTTGTTGAATATTGAGATTATTATGAGACTTATCAGTTTATATCATGTTTTTCAGTCTTTATTTCTGTCATATTCTCTTGTTTGATAGGCTTACCTAGTCTTACAGACTAGGTGTCATCACGACATCCTAAGATGGAAAATTGAGGTCATGACACCAACAAAAGTAGATCTGACATTGGAGGTTGTTGGGTTCAAAGTTGGGCTTAAATGGTGGGATTTTGAAGCTTGTTGAGCACACGGGAGACGTTGGAATTGATTAATTGGTAAGGGATTGAGCATAGTCGGAGGGTGAGGTGGCGGTGGTGGGTCAGGGGGACCAACAGGTCCACCGTGAGAAGCATACGGTTGACAGAATAGTACTTTGGTCGTGATAACTCATATAAAACGGTAACTTTTGGTGAAAGGGAAATGGATTCTCACTCTATAACTTTTTTGACTTCAATTCTATAAATTTTTCTATTTATTCAATAAAAGTATTTTCTGTTTTACTCATTTGATGGATGTACTTAAACCTCAAATGGTTCAACTTTTATGTATTAAGTTCAATTGTACTTTAATTTTTTCTTTTACGTTTGATTTTAGGTACTCTTAATGTTAAATGGTACTCCCTCCATTCCAATTTATGTGAACATGTTTGACTATGCACGGAGTTTAAGAAAAAATGAAGACTTTTGAAATTTGTGATCCTAAACAAGTTAAAAAGGGACCCATAGTATTTGTGTTGTTATAAAAGCTTATCATTAAGGGTAGAATTGTAAGTTTAAGCTAAATTATTACCAAATTTGAAAAGGGGTCATTCTTTTTGGAACTAACAAAAAAAAATAGGTTCACATAAACTGGAACAGAGGGAGTAATTTTTAAAATTTCTAACAATGTAGTAGTTTCCACACCTTCCAAGTCCCAATTGAGGTTTGAAAGATTCTAAACACTCCTTGCATTCCATTCAAGCACATTAAAGAATCTCTTTTTAAATTTTTGACAACTATTATTGCTGAATTTTTTAGAAAAACTCCATAATTAGCTCAAGCTAATACCAGTCTCATGGAATAAGCAAGCTGATCTTATTGAGGAAATGGACCTTCATGACAATTCACAATGTTAAAGTTAATAAAGTGTCCTCTTAATCTTTAATGAATACTTATTAATATTTGATCCACCCTATTACCAGCTTGTGTGGCTCAATGAAAAGTATATGACTACACATAGTACATGCAGCGCAAAGGGGAACTTCTGATTTGATCCCACATTATTTTTTCAAACACTGTATATTGTTGTAATAATGAGCTAATCTAGGGGCAAATAATATGGAATAAATAGTAAGATACGTCTTGTGTATAACTGACCAAAAAAGGGGGCAACACGTTTAACCCTTATTGATATAAATATAGGAGACAGAGGAGCAGATAGGAAGGCGCTATCTTTTTTATGGAAGCATAAATAAAGAGAGAGTATTTTAGGAAATAATTTGAAATAACTTGATTTTTCTGTCAATTTACTTTAACCAGAAACATAGTTACACACCCTAGTTTGCAGGATAACACAACTCCCAAGTAGGACCAGAAAGACCTCAAATGGTTCTGCTTTAGGTACACACCCTAGTTTGCAGTTTGAGTCAAAAATCGAACTAAGCATAGTTTTAGTTGGGGTACACCTAATAAAATCACATGAAATCAGCCACTGTTTGATCGTGCCTGAAAGCAATCAAGTTAGCTAACATCAGAATGATTAAAGGCATGAGCAGAAGCGATGATCCTAATATCCATCCATGATGGTCTGCCACGAGGTATAAAGAAAAGGCACCCTCCAATTACAAAAATGAAATATCACTGTGACATACTTTATTGTCATCATGATCCTACATTAAAAACAAAGCCTTACCTGACGAGGGGACGCCGACCTTGATCTGGACTTGGACTTGGACCTGGACCTGGACCTAGACCTGGACCTGGACCTGGACCTGGGTCTACATTTAAAAAGAAGGGCCCAAACCGCCAAAAGGGTTAAAAGAGGCATCCCAGACTTTAATATGAATTAAAAAATTCAGCTGTCATGTACCTAGTCGACTTCACAGGAGATGCAGATCTAGACTTCGCCGGCGGTGATCTCAAAACAGATCTTCCAGCTGATTTGCTGCACAAGGAGAAATTATGCTAGAAAACGAGAAAAATGAATGTGCACATACAACCCATTCATGATTTACAACATGAATACCTCCTACTCCTCTTCGGACTTCTGCTTCTGCTCCCCCTCGGACTTCTGCTCCTGCTCCTGCTCCTGCTCCTGCTGCGGCTTCTGGATGGACTTCGCTTGTGTTCTCTTACCTATATATAGGGACAACGAAGATCAAGTGAGCCTAAAAATAAAGATATAACTGACTGTAAAATAAAGTCAAAAATAGTACTACTTCAAGAATACAGAATTAGGTACAGCACCCAAAAAGATAACCTAAATCATTACTACTACACTGAATAGGGAATCCACCGCTCCATCCCAAAAACAGAGGACCCCAGAAACAATTAAAAGATAAAAAGCGACCCAGAGGGCATAGGGAAGAAAGGAAATCCAAATGCAGCACAGAAATAAACAAATACCCGGATATAGGTTCGTGTCCAAGGATTCTTGAACTCGGTATCATCAAGTTTGCGAATCTGAATAACAAGACAAAAGTTAGCTACGTGGCACTTCTCTTTCTAAAGAGTGAAAAAAGGAGCTAAAATATCCATAAGCAACTATCGACAGAATAAAAGTCAACAAAACAACTTTCATCCGGGGAAAGGTTATAAAAATTCTAATGATGCACACAAATAGAATTGAACCAAGACCTTAAGGTAACCTTGCAACTACGGCTACACCTCCTTGATAATATGATTGGAGCATTTGATAACTAACCATTCAAAACTTATAATACCATGTAGCAAAATAAGAAACTTACAGCATATTTCATGTCATCACAGTTTGTATAGTCGACCAGGCCAAAGGTTCCTAATATGAAAGAAATAATTTAGTTTGGTTACTGGAGCAGCACAGGAACTAAACAAAACACAATAGATGCTACCCAGCTAACACTTTTCCTAACATTTTTAACTCCTAAGCATTCATATACATTCAATTGTTTCCCCCAGGATACCAAGAAAGGTACAAGTGTAACGACATGGTTTCCTTGAAGTCTTGAACATTGTGCTAAATTTACAAGTAAAGCATAGGACATATTATTAGGTCATACCTTCACTGTCACGGGAAACTTCAGCAAAGCAAACATCGCCAGCCTTTCGCATATGATCCTGAGATGTTTTCCAGAGGGTTAATGCAACAAGCTACACATTCAAATCATCAAACAGAACCCCCAGGTAAAACTTCTGTCACCTTCAAATCTTGCCAGGAAGCAGAAGACGGGAGGCCACGAACAATAACTGTATGATTATCACAGAAACCAGTTTTAAAAATTTAGTTGGTTAGGGGAATTAAATAAATTTAGCTATTTGAGAAATTATATTGTAACACAGCCTTCAATATAGGAAGGCATTATATAATCCCATAAAAAGTTCCAGTGGCACCTCGGTACTCAGAATGGCGAGAAATGCCATGACGCCCTCCACCATCACTGCGGCCATAGCCACCACGACGATCACTTGAAGATGGCGGCCCTCTACCACCATGAGCAAGCTCAACCTATATCAAGCAGTAAAGATGTTTACCAAGATAGTTTGCATACAGAAAAATCTCTCTCTCACAATACAAGGAAATTTAGTTGAGCTCTTCTTACCCTGAGACGACAGCCATCAAAGTTGTAGCCGTCTCTACCCCTGATAGCATCTTCAGCATCACGAGCATTTTCAAACTGTATACAAAAGAACTCAAAATGATTGATTGACAATCAGGAAACGAATAAAGAAGGAGAAAGTGAAGGTTCAAGTAAACATATGTTCACATAACCAACCTCTACAAAGCAAAAGCAAGGAGGACGCGGGGGAATCTTCAACTCAATATCCAGTATACGCCCATACTGCAAAAAAAAGAGAGATCTATAGATCTGTAAGCAGCTCTTTAGTTTTGAATTAAGAGTAAACAAGAGATAAGTAAAAATGAGCTACACTTCTCAAAAACAAGATTTTATGGCCAATACTTCAAACGCTCATACATCAGGATCTAAAATGATTAAGATTTTCACACACTTACTGAAACTCAGCTAGAATCATTGTCACCTTTCTTGACAATCTCTTACCAACTAACAATAAAACCACTGACATGAATAGAAGAAACTCTTAGAACAAACATCTTTAACCCTTCATTTGGTTAAAAGTAGTCCTGAACTCCTAACCCTGGTTATCTCTGTCTTCAGATTGTTTAGTTCATGATCGCATGGGAGGGAACCTTTTGACCAGTGTTGGGGCGAGCGTGAAGCGAAGCGACAAGGCCCCGATTTGCTTAAAGCGTGAAGCGAAGCGAGCGCTTCATTTTTTTTTAAAGACCAAATAAACATTGCACAAAGACAAAATACATAAGCACATATTCAATTATAAAACTAAACTGTAGATAGCACAATAAACAAGCAAAATCAACACTAAATGCAAATAGATCAGAGAAATAAAAAAAATAGCAACCTTAATTGGAAAAATACACCAGAACAAAAATTAAAAAAAAATGGAAATTATCAGCTATTATAATTAGAAAAATCTACTGAAAAGAGAAAATTAAAGACCAACCAAAGAAACAGAAAAGGAAAAAAAAAAGAGAAAAATAAAAAATTGAAGCAGCAACAATTGGGGATATTTTTGAGGAAAAAAATCCTCAATAATTTGAGGATTTTCAGCGAAGAAGAAGAAGAAGGGAAAAAATTGGAAACATTTACCTGCTTCAGCAGAGAAACGAAAAAGAAGAAGGGAAGAAGAAAGAATAAAAAATGGCAGCATTTACCTGCTTGTGCAGAGAAACGAAAAAGAAGAAGGGAAGAAAGAGAAGAAGTACAAGGAAAAAATTTATACTTACGCCTTGAACAAGTCTTCAAGCTTCTGAAAACCCTAACTTTGTTGAGCCACACAACTTCTGAATGTCCAGCCCCAGGTTCAGTCAACAAAATTAAACATTTTTTAAAGTTTATTATTTAAATTAAACCCTTCCAAAATTAAAAATTTAGTAAGGCGCACAATTCTAGCTTTACCTTTGTTTCACGCTTCACTGACATAAGCATATGCTTCATCAAAGCCGCATCGCTTCACCCCACCTGAAGCGCTAACCTTACCGCTCCGCTTCTCGCTTTAACTGCATAAGTGACCGTTCCCCCACATTGCTTTTGATCTCAGTAAAACCTAAAAGGGAGACAGGTTAACTAGCCTACATCTTTTTTTATGGTTACCGTTGTAAAGCCTATATCACTATCACCCTTTCTTTTCCAATTATAAGTCCGCATCATAACTGAAATTTTCTTTGCTAGCAAGAGTTTGGCTTCTTATCTAGACCAAGGTTGGGGAGGCGCTCGCTTCTGCGTTTAAAGCAAGAAGCGAAACGAAACGAAAGCGTTGGCGCTTCAGATGGGGTGAAGCAATGCGGCTTCGATGAAGCGTGAGCGAAGGTAAAGCGAGAAGCACGCGAATCATGCGCGTTTAATTTTTGAGTTTGAACAGGTTTAAATTTAAAGGAAAAAACTAGCAAAATTAATTTTATCCATTGAACCTGGGACTCGACACAAGCTACGTGACTCAACAAAACTAAGGTTTTAGAAAGCTTGAAAATCTTCAAGGCTCAGGTATGATTTTTTTCCTTGTCCTTCTTTTTCGTTTCTCGGTTGAAGCATGTAAATGCTGCCAATTTCTTCTTGCTCTTCTTCTCATTCTTCTTCCCTTCTTTTTCATTTCTCTATTGAAGCAGGGCTGTGAAATTTTTTCCTTCTTCCCTTTTTCTTCTTATTTATCTGCTAAAAATCCCCAAACTGTTGATGCATCGTTTTTTCTTCTCTTTTCTTCTTCTTCTTCAATTGGTCTTTAATTTGCTCAGTAGAATTTTCTAATTATAAAAATATAGTATTACCATTTTTTTAGTTTTCATTTCACTCCATTTTTAGTGAATTATTTTCAATTGAAGTAGCTAATTTTTATTTCTTTGATCCATTCACATTTAGTGTTGATTTTGCTTGTCTTATGGAGGCAACAACAACATACCCAGTATTATGCCACAGCGTGAGGTCTGGGGGCTTGTCTTATTGAGGATTTTGTTAAATTGAATATGTGTTTATATATACCCCTCCGTTCCAATTTATATGAACCTGTTTGACTGGGCACGGAGTTTAAGAAAAAATGAAAGACTTTTTAAATTTGTGGTCCTAAACAAGTTAAAATGGGGTCCAGACTATTTGTGTGGTTATAAAAGCTTCTCATTAAGGGTAGAAATGGAAGTTTAAGCTAAATTGTTTTCAAATTTAGAAAGGGTTCATTCTTTTTGGAACGGACCAAAAAGGAAATAGTTTCACATAAACTGGAACGGAGGGAGTATTGTCTTTGTGCAAGGTTTATTTTGGTCTTTTTTCTAAAATCTCGTTTCACTTCTATGATGTGCTCGCTTCGCTTCGCTTCATACCTCACGCTTAAAGCGAATCGAGACCTTGTCTCTTTGCTTCGCTTCTCTTCATCCTCGCCCCAACACTGATACATAATTTTCCAAATTACAATCGACTAGTATTTGTTGATGAGAAACTACAGAAATACAGGCTAAAAATGAAACAAATAAGTATATAATTATCTGCAATACTATCACAAGCAAAATGAGAACTTCTAATTAAGGTTCTCAACTATTACATGCACCTGATGGTACTTTTTGTTAAAGATAAATAAGTGAATTGTTTAAAGTATCTGCAATAGATTCCATATATCAAGTCTTCAATCCTGACCTTAATTTATCTGGCCAACATTGGTAAGCTAAAGCAAGAGAAGACAAACCTTGTAAAATAGATCTTCAACTTCCCATTCTTTTATATCTGCGGGAAGGTTGCCAACATAGATTGTGCGAGAAAAACGGCCACTCATTCTGAACTATGGAGGTATTATTCACTGCAATGATGCACGTCAGTGTAACTTATAAACAGTGCAAGAACTTCCAATTAACATTGTTGAGCAATACTTATAAAAATAAATTGGATATACATTTTGATTATTCTGTATTTGATTCGACAGTAACACATTCAAGTAGAAAAACTTTGAAGCAAACCAAGAGAGCAATCCTCGAGTTGAGCGGTGCTCCACAAGCTCCATTTCTCATATGCTCCAAGATGCTCCAAAAGCTATAATTTATTTGAAATTAATATTTGGGTCTCCTCATCTTTATAAGTTTTGCAGATGATAGCTCTCCTGAAAGTGAGCAACAACCTCCCACTATACATAAATACAAAATGCCACCCTGACTTCTCCCACTCCCTATACATCCCTATGTATTGTTCCATAGCTCATTTTTGTCCCAAGTGCTTGAAATCTATCATAAATAAAGCATTTGTGTCATGCGATGAGGTAGCACAGCCATATACTTATGCATTTACCTTACCCATATCTCTTTTCTTTCTTTCCTTCATTAATTTTTTATTAGTATCGTACTCAGATTTCTTTTTAACAAAACTGAGAAAATTAATCCCAAAAGATATGCAATGTATCCATAGCCATTTAAAGTAGCATAATGCCATTTTATTACAAATGATGTCATTTTCTCTCAACCCTGACACAAGACTAACATGCCTTTAAGTAACCGCTAGTCAACCATTAGCAGTCAAACATAATTTAATTATCCCGAGAAAGAAAAAAGAGAGATATTCTTTATGACGGTGGTGCCCAATCCAACTTGTGCCCACCTCAACTATCTGCCATGTAGTCTACTACAACCAACATACACAAAAAGGAGTAATGTTACATTTCCACTCCATATCAATTCTATCCCACCAGTTCATTCTTTAAGAGAAACTAACATCACTACTGTAGCGAAGGTGAATACGATGCATACCTAAATCAAGAGGAATAATGGGTTTGCTCTGTGGAGAAGGCATGGAAGTAAAGTGCACGTCAAAGAAGCATAACCCTTAAGACCTACACATATTCTAGTTTTCATATACGTATGTTTGGCATGAGAAATTGTTTTCCTTGATTAAATCATTTTTTACCGTAGTCTGTTAGCTTGAATTGTGGAATATGCTATCTTGAAGGAGATAACTTCCCACCAAAAGGGGCAAAATGGCTTCTTCGTTTGCAAATATCCCAACTCTTACCACGTAATTTTTGCTTCAATCAAGAATTAGATATTTAATGCTCAAAAATATCACCAAAGCATCATCTTAACAACGTACATACTGAATGTTACATTATATCACCTGCTTTCATACTCTACGAGGAAAGGCCCAAGCTAGTCCAGTTTCTTTGGATTCGGCTCAAAATAATCCTGTTTCTTTCACATGGAGCACTAATAGTACACATTCTTTAAAAAATTGGTGCACTTTTAGTCTCCATCAAAACTTCTGTTAGTTGTTTAATGGAAAGAACCTCACATGCCAGCATATGAGATTTATTTTTTTAGAAAACAAATACTTCTACACTATTAATCTTATCGAGTTACTCTTTAGTTTGAAAAAGTGTACAGTAGCAGCAGATCGAAGAGGTTTCAAGTGATAATTCAGTGGGTGTTTCATTCTTGAGTCTCGTGCTCTTCCACTTATGTTGCTAGTTAATAATTATGAGATGCCATGTTATTCAACTGGCATTTAACTGTAAAAATCCTAAATTGTTTTATCAAGAATTCCATTAATGTATGTAGCCTTTTAACAACCATAATTCCTTATCATGGTTATGTACACCGTGGTAAATCTTGGAGATGGTAATCAGAAGCTACCTTGAATGCACTATCATCCCCCTTCCCCTTCACGTGAGAGCTTTGCAACTTGCAAGCTGGGAACTGCTATCTGTCCAGTTTTGATTTTATGTTTATTACAGGTATTGTGTCTAAAATCCTCGTTATTCTTTTTATATTTGGGAAATTTTCTTCTTAATTATAAACTTCAAAAGATAACAAGAATCAGATAAAATGCAATTCCATACTTACTGGATCCATTGAGCCCACTGGAAGTTCCCTACCTTTATTTATTATCATGAGCGGAAGAAAAAGCGCAGAACTTCAACTACACACATTACCAAATTGCATTAGACAAAATGATTGAGCCTGACTTATGCAACAGGGTTTTGACTATTTGAAAGAATGTGTTTGATCGGGTTCTTGCTCAACAAAATGAGTAACTTTTGTTTTCTAAGAGATTAAATCTCATATGATGGCAGATGAGGTTCTTTCGATTAAAAAACTAATAGAAGTTTGGATGGAGACTAAAAGTGTACCACTTTATTAAAGAACGTGGACTATTAGTGCTCCATGTGAAAGAAATAGGATTAATTTGAGTTAAAGTCCAAAGATACGGGACTATTTTGGGCCTTTTCTCCATACTCTACCATACACGAGAAAAATGATTCAGAAAATGATTGCTCAATGTAAAAGATGTTTAGTGAAAAAAATGGGACACACCTCATAGCCCATAAATGCAGAAAACCCTAGGACCCAACGAAATGAACCATGCATAAATGAACTAAGAAAAGAATAGACCTGTACAAAGTTCTTTTTTTTCTTGAACTGCAGACACGCTGATTCGGTAACTAGGGTTTTTTCCCATTTACCTTTCTCAGTAGACAAAGTGGATGCAAAGATTAAAAGTGGGCGAAGAACAGAATGTGAAGAATAATCTAATGATATTACCTTTGATTTCAGTTTGATACGGTAGAGAATCCGATGAATATGACGGGAGGGAATTGCCCTTCCACTTTGAATATTTCACCCCTTTTTTGGACTTCTTATCGGCTTCTCTGTTGCTGCACTGCAGGTGGGCTCGGTGAATGTGATTTTAGGGCTAGGCGATAACGCCAAAGGTCTTTTTTGGGGGATTTTTAAGCTCCTATAATCTATTTGAAATCTTATTACCTTTGGTGCTCAAGTTTATTTTGATTACATGGTCATAACAATTTATGAATTATATACAAATAAGTTTGAAATGAGTATGCTTGAATTGAATAAGAAATATCAGTTATTTCTTATTTCTTTATACTTGTCCACTCTCTCTCTTCGTGTCTCTCTGTACCCATCGTGTAGCTTTCTTTCTACTAGTGTGATCTTAATAAAAAGAATATGATTTCTGGCAGTGAAACTTTCACACTTAATTGGTTATTATAAAATTTAGAGTTCACGGAACAAAGATTGCAACTCAAAAGTGCGGCTTACAAACATTGAAACGAATTACTAAATTAAAGACGAAGATATTGTAGTAATTCATCAATGGATTTTTTGCTGTATAGAGTTTTAATGGAATTCATCAATGGATTTCAATCGTTTTAACTTAGCAATTTCCTTTCATGTTGCACAATTGGTGTTCAAATTGAAATTGTCAATCAATAAATTTTGAAGGTGTTTGACTCTTTACCATTGAAAGCCATTAAAAAGCTTTGAAGTTTTGAAATTGAATTTGGGTTTATAAAAACCATTATTTGTTTGGATTGGGTATTGTTGCAAACAATTGGTAATATTGTTTGGAGTTTATATCTCAATTTTGAGGGTGTTTTGGTGAAGATTAGACTTGATTTGAAGAAGAAGAAGAAGAAGAAGAAGAAGAAGAAGAAGAAGAAGAAGACATGACATACAATATACTTACAAAAGTATAGTAAAGCTGTAGTTAATTGTAGGTAAATTGTATTCTGTTGTAGTTATATATATTTTTTATTTGAATATTGTATGAAAGTTGAAAAATATTTGTATTATGTATGAATCGTTGTATAAAATTTGTATTTAAGTTATCAATGCTATCTTTTTACATAAAGTTGTTGATATGTATCAAAATTATATTAAGAGAGTAAGTTTTTATTGGAATTTTAGAAAGGAAGAAGCACACACCACACACAATATATATATATATATATAAATCAGATACAAAATGTACAAAAGACATATTGTATAAAATTTATATAAGAATTGTATTTAAGTTGTATGATATTGTAGTTGTATTTAACTGGGTAGATATAATGTATGAAAGTTGTAGATAAATTGTAGATTAGTTGTAAATAAGTGTATACTGTATAGTTAGTTGTAATTCAACATTACAAAATTAAATGCAATGTGACTAATTCAATATTACATTCCAAGTCGCAATTGACGAAAGTTGGAAAGTTGAACGTCTGGAAGGTTGAGAGGTTTGACCGAGAGTTGACTTTATTGATACCGGGCTTGGATCAGTTCTGGGAGTTGGAGTATGTCCGTTTTTTTATTTATGACTTGTGTGCAAAATTTTAGGTCAATCAGAGTTAGTTTGGTATGATTCGGCATTTATTTTAGAAGTTGGACGTTCATTAGTTCATTAGGCTTGAATTGGGATGTGATTCGTGATTTTGATGTTGTTTGATGTGATTTGAAGCTTAGACTAAGTTTGTATCGTGTTTTAGGACTTGTTGGTATGTTTAAATGGGGTCCCTGGGGCCTCGGGTGTTTTTCAGATCAAGTTCGGACTCATTTTGGACTTTGTTGGATTGCTTATATTTGTGCTTCTGGTTTTCTTTTTCGCGATCGCGAAGGGTCAAGTCTGGTAGTGAGAATTTGTTCAACGTGGTCGCGAAGTTCTGAGTGTTTTTGCAACGCGAACGCGAGTGAGGAGACGCGTTCGCGAAGAAGGAAGGAGAGGCCTGGGAATTTCACGCAGTTGTTCATCGCGATCGCGTGTGGCTGTCCGCGATCGCGTACTGGTCATCGTGTTCGCGACCTAGTGATCCCGTTGGCATAGAAGGTTTCCACTGGAGATTTTTGTTATTCGCAATCGCGAAGTGTAATGACTGGGCAGTATGTTTTAAAATCCTAAACCGGGGGTTAGAGTATTATTTCACATTTTGAGCTGTAGAGCTCGATTTTGGGCAATTTTGGAGTGGATTTTCATGTCTTGGATCGAGGTAAGTGTTTTTTTACTCTGATTTGTTGTTATATCATGATTCTATCTTTGTTTTAGCATTTAATTAGTGGATTAACTTGGAGAAATGGGGAATTTTGTGAAAACTTTTCAAAAATAAAAAATGGAGGTTTGAAGGTCGATTTGAGGTCGGAATTGATGATTTTGGTATGGTTGGACTTGTAATTGAATAGGTGTTCGGAATTTCTGAATTTAGTCAGGTTTCGAGGTGCGGGCCTGGGAGGGGGGGTTGCGTTTTAGGGTTCACTTTTTTATTTTTGTTAAAGATCTTAGCTTTATCTTTTGGAATCAATTCCTATGGCTATTATTGATTATAGTTATTTGATTTGATTAGATTCGGATCGCCCGGAGGTCGATATGCGCCGGAAGGGCTTGCTAGAGGAGTGAATTAGCTTGCTTGAGTAAGTATCTTATCTAAACTTGGTTGAGGCACTAGTTGCCTGTGTTATTTGTGATAGATACATGCTATGGGTGGTGTTGAGCCCATATACATGCATCGGGGTACTATTTCCATGCTCGAGGTTGTGCTTAGGCCATGACATGCCTTGAAATGATTGATAAGTTTCAAGTTGAGACGTTTTTCCTATTTATACCCCTCTATGAGACATTTGTACCATATTTGAGATTTCGTTGAAGTTATTTCTCCGGTTGAACCTGATAACTGCTATTTCTTGATGGAAATTGTCTGTTCTAGCTCTGATAGCTCACATTGCACATGCTTACACTATAGCATCTTATTTATACCAGTCCAGGAGTATGAACTTGACAATCATTAATCGTACATGTATTCCCGCATATTTGCTTTCTCTGTGTCATGAGCTTGGTAGCATGTGACCACGCCGGGCGAATTGTGATTGTTGGCAAGTGAGTCCGTGCTGTTGATATTATTAGCACGCAAGTTGTCCGTGCAGATCCAGTTATTGATATTATTAGCACATGAGTTGGTCGTGAATCATGTGAGTTGTCCGTGCGGTTATATTAATAGCACGTGAGTTGTCCGTACGGCGTGTAAATACAGATCCATCCCTCTAGGGTCACCCTCTCATATTTCTCTCTTGATGGTGTACACGCGGTTATTGGGAAAAACTGATCAGTGGTTTTGTACAGATATGGAAAGGTTGAGGAAAGTCTGGCCAGTGTTATTTTGGAATTCCATTCCATCTTTACTTGCAACTTCCATGGTTTATCATATGATTATCTGTATATCATCTTATATGTTGTACCCGTGACTGAACAGAGATATTGAGTAAAGTCCACTCACATACAGAGATAGTCCTTCAGTATCTTATACATGTTCACATTTCTGTTATGTACTTGTTGGATTTCATGAAACTGTATAGGTTATAATAGGTATCATTTATAATTCTTATTTTTTTAACCTCGCCGAGGTTAGTTACGATACTTATTGAGTACATTGGGTCGATTGTACTCATACTACACTCTGCACTTAATTGTGCAGGTCCTGTGGGGACCAATTATCAGTAGTAGACTTGCTTGTTGGACTGAGTTCGAGAGGCGAGGTAGAGCTGTATTCTTGGTCGTAGTTTTGACTTGTCTTTTTCTTACATACTATTGTTACAGTTCAAACATTGTTATTATTATTCTGTTTCAGACTTGGATTCCGTTAAAGAGCTTTTGACTCCGTATTTACCAGTTCTTGGGGGTTTACCTTGTATTAGCAGTATTTGGTTGTATTGAGATTTCAGACTTATGGTATTTCTATAAGATCCGTTGTTCTATTTCCTTTAATGTTATGTTTCGGCTTGCCTAGCCGATGTGTTAGGCGCCATCACGACGGGTTGGGATTTTGGACCGTGACATCGATGCTTTTTCATCTGTTCCTTGAGTGCCTTGTTCTCGTTCTCCATTTTTTCCATTATTTTTAACACTACGGCGAGGGCGTTATCACCTGCACTGTCAGCAGTTACATGGATATTACCTGGAGTCTGAGGGTTTAGTTGGTCACTCCGCCTATTCTTATGCTGGGTTGTATGGACCCTTGGGGTTTCCACGGGCGTGCACGAGCCCTTCTTGCTCATCACGCTGACCAAAGTGTCAATTAGCCAAGCCTCTAGGAGCTTTTTTTATGGTGGGTGGTGCTCCTTATTCCGCGGACGTGGACACTTCTTTTCCGGTGGGTTTGGTCATGCTACAGAAGGGTGTTGGTGACTTCCCTAACTGGGGGATGCCGTGGGGGTTACTTCTTCATCTTGAGTTTCGTATCCTTCTTCGATGGCACTGATTAGATTGAGCGGGACGTTGTCCACCGCTCTTGTTCTGTTTCCTTGGTCGACCTTTCCTTGGTTACCTGCTATGGAATCCTTGTATGCAAAGAGAAAAAGAGTAGCTTTACAGTATGTTAGGTTAACAAGTTATGACCGTTGTAGATCTGAATGAAAACTAGTAGTTTAACTATCAAATTGCCCGCAGATGACGCCAAACTATATGACCAAAAAAATAGATCTTGGTTTTATACAATTAGATTTTTTGTAAAATACGGTTAATCATATTCAACATTAATAATCAATGACAAATCTAATACTTTGAAGCCCGTATTTACAATATATTATTGAAGAAAACAGTTGCGGGACAATAATGAGGTTATAATGAATATAAAATGTAAAGAAGAGCAATAAATAGTAATAAATGACTTACAAGTAGTAAATGAGATAAAGATCACTCGACAAAGATGAGATTTTCGGATTCTTTCCGACAGCGATGGATGAGGATGAGCAACCTAGTATTCAAATCCTTCTTGGATCGGGAGAGAGGGTTAAAAGAAGAAAGTGTAAAGGCAAGCTTTGTTTCTATCCAATAAAGTTAGAATCTTGTACAAAAAATGTTGATGTAACTCTGTACAAAAGGTCCAATCCCCTTTCTGATCTACATCTCTTCCTATTTATAAGAGCACATATGCCACAAAACCCTAGACAGTACAACAGAAAGAAATATCCATTAGAATATTCCCTAGGGAATCT